TAAGTAATAAGTAAGTACTACTATATACTATATATATATATATATATATATATATATATATATATATAATATATATATATATATATATATATATCTGAGAGCAATCGTATTATTCTAAATATTATACGTTTCCATATGTGCAAAACTCCAGCTCCTGTGATATGCGAGTCTGTGAAAGAGAAAAATTCATGGTTTTCGGGTCGCGAATACATATGCACGCATATAAATTATAATTACTTTTCAACCCGTATTTAAATACTTGTATGTATATATGACATGCCTGCATACAATATAAGCACACACGAAGGGGAGTTCTGGCTTATAAAAACAGCACCTGCCATTCCCGCGTGCAATTCTGCTCAAAGTAATAGTGTCAGATAAATTTATCCACGAGTACAAGAGAATGATCTCGATACATGCTTAGCATCATTGCTTATTAATTCAATGGCGGTGGTGTCTATCCCTTTGCGTATGCGTTATAGGAGCTAGAAACCGTGAGGTGCCCGCCATTCCCCATAGTCACACCATGCATTGGGCTCCCAACGTACGTTGCGAGTGTAATCAACTACACGCTGCACTCGCCTGGTGTGTTTAGTTCATTTGTTGTTTAATTATGTTGCTTTTCTACTAGGGCTCTGCACGATGGTATGTACAGCATTAACCCTAGACTACAAGGTGGCGTTGCAGCGATGATCAAGATCGAGGAATACAACGAACAACACGGCTGTGACGGGTTGTCAGTACAACAACTTGTGAATGAGTATGAAGAGCATATTTAATGGCATACGTTCGAGTGTGAGGAGTATGGCGAGCTGGCTTTCAATGAGTATGAGGCGCACAGTTAATCGAATTAGCGGTTGAGCAATTCGAGAAAAATAGAGTATGGCTTGGTAACGAAGTCGAGAACCATAGAGAGACGCTAGACGCCCTACAGTGAGCGTTAACGCATTCGATGAGGACATAAAACGGTTAGACAAAGAGATAGGATAAAGTTAGAGGTACTCTTGAAAACATCAAGGAAGCTCTGACACCGTCGAATGAAAACATGGAATAAGCTGGAAGCGAGCTAGGGAAGCGTAGTGGCACTATGGACACTATGCTGAAAGCACTGACACCATCGGACAAGACATTAATTTGGAGGTTCTCATGTTGAGACACACACAGATGCGATTGACGCAGTCTAATACGATTACAGAATGGGTTGGCAATGAAGTTGAGCAGAGCAGCATAGGACACATCTGATGTATCCAAAAGAAGATAATGCAGTCAAGGGAGAATATAGCATGGATTTCATGGATTAGCAGCGTGTGGGAAAAGTTCGGTAGTGGATATAAGAAGTCATCAGATTCTGGGGAAGCTAAGTTGTGATATAGACAACAATTCATCTAATTTCTCATACCGAGTTGCGACTGAATGTGTGCCTTGCGCAAGAAGATGTCTCTATTCTGTGATATTCGATCTGGTCAAGCCTCGGCGTCGGATCCGGTCTTTGCACAGGAGGAAGGATATGGTGAACTCATTCATATGCACATGTAGGCATGTGTAAATGCTTGAGCGTTTATGTATATATGCACTAATATGATTGAATAGAGTGGGCTACGGTTTGCCAATATATTACCTGTCGAGCTTTGATAAAATTCCGGGTCACCCATGGCATAGACCAACGTTTATGTATTCGTGCATATGTGATAGCAGGTGACTGTTCACAAGTAGTCATTCTGAATACGCCGCTCCCGATAGTGACCTTAAGTGCGTATAAATCTAGCGTCAACATGGCCTGTTCGGGGTTCCAAACGACACCTTGCAGCCTGGATGGGCGTTACAGGCACTGATGAACTATTGCTACGACGGAGATGGAGAGCATATAATGTATACAGAGCCAACAGTGGAGGTTCTCAACGTAGATAGTCTTGCACTATGTATAGGCAGTTTTTTTGTTAATGAGATCGAACTCGGCAGTGTGAGGTGCTTGATATCATCATGCTTGAATCAACTGCGAGTAGTATGCCACTGCCTCAAAACAAACACGTGACCGAGCAGGTGTCCTGTAAACAACGCTGCAGACTGGAGAGAAGTGCGTGAACAACATAGTCAGCCCCTCAAAAGTATTAAAAATAGTATACACCCACAAGATTCGATGCCGCATTCATTTCCTAGTTGTATTTGTCAGTGAGTGCGAACTCAAATACCAATATGTAATTTCTCCATACATTTTCGGTGAAGGACACCTCACGTTTGTTATTCAACGCCATAGCACATGTTCTTCAAAGAAACAATATGCAGTAATCTTGGATGTTGTTATAAAATTAGTTAAGTTAGATGCTCACACACCTCTTTATGTATAATTTTTCAAAAGGGAACAGGACATGAAATATACGCCATCGTGACGAGATTTTTCTGGGACAGAGTTTACCTATAACTGCTATAGACTGTGGTATACTGCCGGAAATGTGGTACGGCGGAAGGCTTTACTACAGAATTATAGCCCTTGCAATATGTATGACTTATACAGCTAGAGATAACCTCCTCTATACGTCGCGTTGGGTCACCAGCTTACATTACCACCACTGCCAAGCGCTGATTGGTTCACAAGCAGTATAGTACATCCTTGAGCACGGTGAGCGTGGGACTAAATGCTTGTTTTAGAAATCTGATGCGTTCTACCCATACTCATTCCCACTGTCGATGACAAATTTATACATAAACAGTGAAGCACGTCCTTGAGCACGGAGAGTGACACTACATGCAGGTTTTGAAATCTGATGACCTCTATCCATTCATCCAAATTGTTGAAGGCAAATTGATACACAAACAAAATAGTACACCCTTGAGCACAGAATGTGTGGGATTACATGCCGGGTTTAGAATCCAATGCCATATATTTATGCTTATCTGATTATAGACGGTTATCAATTTATTCGTCGGTCACACAGCCTAGAGACGCGGACTTGACGTTCTTTATGTACTGCAATGCGGAGAAGGAATAAGCGTGTTAGCCATGATTGTGTCAAGCTTCGGTCAATCACTTTAAACCTGCCTTACAACCACTTTGACCTACGATATAACCGCTTTAGCCATAAGCTAGGCTAGAACAGCATCATAAAGCGAATAATTGTACATTCAGGCGTGGAACGGTCTTAAGGAAACAGTACAATCCGTATAGCGCCGGACACTATTGATTGACGACTACGTATGTCTTTACATTCGCATACGGGGATACAGACGTGCTCGTACACCTACACGTCTTCAAAGATATAGATACACGCGTAATTGTATTCATTTATTGTCTACACACAGAGTACAGCTGCTGTTCACGGATACGCGGACAGTGTGAAGCCAGGTAATTGGGCACCGTTCACGCATATATGGACATTTTCTTGACACTTAAAACTATACTTAACGAATCACACACATACACACACAAACAGAGTTGCATCACGAAGTATACCTTGTACAGTGTCCCCCTGGTGTACTTCAGAGCGGGTGCTACAAAACTTTCTCTGCGCTTTTGCAGCTCTTCTTCACTCACATCCATTTTGATCTCCTTGGTATCCGCATCTGGCGAATAAAGAGTTATGATAGATAAGATTTTTAGTTATGATCTCCATTGCACTAGAACCTGATACATTGACTTCCAACATAGCTTTACATGCACATATACACGTAGACATAAACATACATGCGTGTACACAAGCTTACATCCGGATGTTCCATTATTACTATATGTACATATTTATGTCTATATATATATAGATGAAATATCCACTATTGCAGAATAAAAAACCATACCAATGTTAATGATATTACCATTTTTGACCAGAAGGACCACCCTCCTGCGCCTCAGGGGACAGTACAATAAAAGACCTATCAGACCATTCACAGACCCTACCGTCTGTAATCTTAGCCACAACATTGCCTACATAACCACACACACAACAATACATGGATAACTATCTACAAAACCACATAGCACATCAACAGCCCACATCTACAGTGCCAAAGACATACCAATCGTAATGATATCGCCATTCTTAACCAAAGCAATAGGGCCACCCGCCTGCGCCTCAGGTGTCACGTGTCCAATGATAAACCCGTGAGACCCTCCGGAGAATCTTCCGTCTGTGATCATAGCCACATCATGTCCCAGACCAGCACCCATAATGGCACTGGTTGGGGTCAACATCTCAGGCATACCAGGACCTCCCTTGGGACCTTCGTAGCGGATGATTACTACCTGCTTCTCGCCTTTGACGATCTCGCCACGCTCTAGAGCGTGTAGCATGTCCTGTGGGTGTACAGGTGGGTGTGGGAACAGTGGGATATCAACACGTGTGTATGCAAGTATATTTGTGTGATTGTGTATATGCAGCAGAATAGGTCGAAGCATGTGCTTGTATGTGTGTAAATACACCAGAAAAACACAATCATAAGCGTTCTATATATCTATAAAGGCATACCTGCGATCACACCCAGATATATATATATACTATATATATAAATTTGAGAGTTCTTATATAGATATATATATACTAAATCTTTAAATTGAGGGGTTCTTACATACCTCTTCAGCATCGTACACCATCGCACGTCCCTGGAAGCGCATACCCTCCTTGCCCGTGATCTTCGCCACAGAGCCCTCAGGCGCAAGGTTGCCATAGAGCACATTCAAATGACCTGAACTTTTGATGGGCGTCTCGATTGGGTGGATGATGTCCTGGCCCTCTTTCAGTCCTGGCAGGTCTTTAAGGTTCTGCGGAAGTAAGTAGAGAAATCAAATCGCGAGTTAGAGGTTGTCTGCACGAATACACATAAATGCGCACACACTTCTTGGGGAGAACTGACAGCGTATCTCGTGTCCAGATCTCTTTTGGATCCGCTGGGCATATGTATGCGATCTAAATAAAACATAGACGTCCCGACGGGAAGGAAAACGGGTTGACAAACAATCTCGGTCCGACATTAAAACCAAAAATGCACTGGACCTGCCAAGGGTGTTCGGGTAATAGTTGTGGGTGTTCTACGCACATCTATGGTATATCTGCCTGTTGGGCTGTAAATGGTTTTGCATGTATTTAATATATACAGCTTTGTGATACTGAGCATGCATTCACGTGTCGTATTCTAAATAAATAAACACAGAAACCATACGCCCATACACATACATAGTACCCCCTGATCCTATAGATATGGGGTTCAACACAATGTTCACGTACACATTTCAACATCGAGTCATATAAAGTACGCTGTATACACGAACGCAAACAATCATATATACATGGATACCGACCCGCACATACCTATCTACACACAAGTACATAGCAATATACACATCCACGGATACGAGCACACAATTACATAGTACAACGTGCAAATGGTCATACCTCGGCCAAAGTCTTGCCTGTCACAGTCAAACAGGAACCATCAATCATGTTCTTCTCCAATAAATACTTGAGGACGGCTGGTGTTCCTCCTACGTTGTGAAGATCCTCGATAACATACTGTCCACTTGGCTGTGATAGGATGCAGGCGAGAAAATCGGAATTAGAGACAATCTTTGCAGAACCTCAATGAGGGCATACTACATCGAATTTTAACGGAAACAAAAAGTACACAGCAAGGTATAGAGAAGGAAATCGGAACAACCCAATTGTCGATATTCAGAGACCAATACATCACTATAGCATGTGTATCTTGTACACTATATTCGAACTTTAAACACAACTTTCGGTCAGAAGACAAGGGTATTGAAATATTGGCTTTCTGCAAGTCGTCGAATTTCAAAACCACTTCGAACGCACGCGTTTGTAGCAATCAAGAAGTGAAATGCTGCATTGATAAATCCAACCACTAACGATATATATATTTATATAAATATATGATAATCACACACTTACCCAAGTACGCGACTGCCTATAGACAGTGCACACACACCTTGAGATCAGCAATGAAAGGTGTGGCGTCACTGGCTCGCTGGAAGTCGTCGAGAGTGATATCCACATCCACTGCACGTGCCATAGCAATCAGATGCAGTGCTGCGTTGGTGGATCCTCCCAGGGCCATAGTAATGGTTATGGCGTTCATGAAGGCGGGCTTTGTCATTATGTCTCGGGGTTTGATATCCTTTTCCATGAGATTCAGGACATATTTGCCTGTGGTTGGAAATACGTGACTCGTGGTAAGGTACCTCGTTGTGATTTGTGAAAGCAGTGTGTGATATCGATACTATCCCAAAGGTACATGTGCGCGTAAGTTATTGTGGTACCATGCTTAAGGATACATAGATCCAGCCTGCAGCCACCACACTAGCGATGGTGAACATAGTATTTTTAGCGTCTTAAGAGTATAGTAGTATAATACTTTGAGCATCTTGAGAGCAAAGTAGTATGATCTTTGAACATCTTAAGAGCATGTTAGCATAGTACTTTGAGCATCCTACCTACACTCTGGCACTCCTGTATTTTGCCGGGGGCGTTGGCGGGTACACTGGAACTGTACGGCAGACTCATGCCCATGGTCTCGATCGCAATAGCCATGGTGTTGGCTGTGTACATGCCTGTAGAAATAGAATGGACGGAAACACATGTGGGAATGGATCACTTTAGTACAAGTTAGACATAGCATATGCAGGTGTATATTCAGGGTCCATGCTGTCCATAAACCTACACGAGCCTCATGTGTGTTTATAGTATAGAGAATATGCAGGTTTTGATTATTAAATTGCTATTGTGCGTATCAGAATCTATGATAGTATACGGCCATATCTTTGTACGCGTTGGCGTAACATCTTCTCGCGCAATAGACACTCATACACCCAGGCTGACGTAGAGAAACAACGTCACACACACACGTGGCATAACTCTACGTCACTGATCTCGCCTGCTTCATACTATGTATACGCCAGAAATACATACACCACAACAGAAATAACGCACAAAATACACCATATACACATATATACAGGGTCTATCATGAAGTATACAACCCACATAGACTGTCCAAGTATATACACAGGCTAACACAAACAGCACACAGCACACGCACACTCGGCACACCTCCACAGGCTCCGGCTCCGGGACACGCATTCTGGATGACATCAGCTCGCTGTTCCTCGTTGATCTCGCCTGCGACATACTGTCCGTATGCCTGGAAAGCACTTACAATGTCCAGCTTAGCATTGCCGGCACCACAGCCGGCACGGATGGTTCCTCCATACACCATGATGGCTGGGCGATTGAGACGTCCCATAGCTATTAAACAACTATAGTGGGTAGTTGGCAGAAGGGGGTAGTTTGAGTGTGGGTGCTTGTTTGTGTGCGTACGGGTATTCGGGCGGGGAAAGGAACGGGAGTGTGGACGCGTATATTTCCTCTATGCATGTGTATGGCTGTGCCGTCTGTATATATGTATGTCCGACTGAGTATCGTTAGGCACCGTATTCCATACACTAGTTCAATCCATGCATCATGATGACAGGACAGTTCATTGATACACTTACATATGCCTACTGCATTGTATGTGATCATGTGCTCCTTCAGCGGTAGCGTATGTAGGTCTAAAAGTATCATCGCACTTCGCCAACCAGACCAATATGCCATATGGACTATATTAACATATGACGTTCGTTCTTGTGTATATATGATAAAATGAAACAGGTGTATGCGTGCGCGTACGTTACCAATTCTCGAATGCACAAACACAAATTTAAATGCCATGAATTTAAAGCGCGGGTACAAGCATGTTCCAGGTCATCGTGGTGTGTAATATAGTGGTATTCAGCTGTATTGTGGTTAATTAGCGATACAATCCAGATCACTAGAAACACCACATTCTCGCAGAAACTAGGTAAAGCTATTTCTACACATTGTATAGATCACATGTAGTAGCAAGCATATTGATGTACTCCACAAATACATTTTCAAGTACGTATACAGGCATGTTCGGTTTACAGCAGGGCAGGGAACTAGCTGTGTACTGTCGCTCGCATATAATGTAACCGTCCCGATAAAGTCAGAAATGAACATCACGTAATTGCAAAGAGTAGAGCACGAACTTGAAAACATCAGGCTATTAATACACAGGTAGACCTGAACACAATACTTAATAAAACTCTGCACGAGTATGTATAGTTGACAAACACACACACACGCTTATATACATATATAACAGTTGTAATGATGTACGTACACAGGCATTTTCATATCACACCCAGGCAGAAGATGTTGAAATGTACCATTGTCCACTCATAGCTGTCTCAATAGTCAGCAATGATATCATATGACTGCAGTAAGAAGGGCATGCCATTGGTGCCCATGGACTTGGCCATCAAATACATGTATACGTTTTGACACACGGAATATACGAGTATATTTGTACGTTGATACAAACATATATATATATATATATATTTGCCGTGTATATGTACATATGCTGATTCGATGTACATACCCGGGCATGTTCTTGTCACAACCAGGAATGGAGATATTAGCATCGTACCACTGTCCGCTCATAACTGTCTCAATCGAATCGGCAATGATATCACGCGACTGCAGCGAGAATGACATGCCATTGGTACCCATAGACATGCCATCACTGACTCCAATGGTGTTGAAACGGAAGCCAACTAGTCCTACGTCTTGTACACCCTTCTTGACAATATTGGCCAGGTCTAAGAGGTGCATGTTGCATGGATTGCCCTACAGAGGGAAGGCGAAGAGAGAGTGTTTATATATGTATACGTATATACAATGCATACATTTGAAACCCACTCCCCTCACTACAACAAAACAACTCAGAATACTATATATATCAGCCAATAAGAACCCACTCACCTCATACCACACCGACGAGATTCCCACTTGAGGTTTCGCCATATCGGATGTACTCAGGCCTGTGGCGTGTAACATCGCCTGCGCTGCTCCGTTGGCTTTGGGCTGTGTGATGGTGCGACTGAACTTGTTCAAACCCTCACCTGAAAACGCATAGTATGGGACAAGTGAAGTTGTTAACATTGCTGTCCCCTACTGGGTTATGGTTCAGGCAGGACTTGGTAGTTTAAGGCCACTAACATCGGGGTTGATATTAGAACCGGAAGTTTATATATATATATATATATAATCATAAAGGTGTGTACCGTTGGATGCATGTATGTACATCGAGGACTACGCCGACTATGCCCAGGTGCGGTGACATCACTTGTTATCTGATTCGAAAGGCACATAATAATTCAAAAATGCACACGGCTTAAGACTACTTTCAACAAGCCATACAGCTCGCAGATCTCCTTGTATAGCATATTGCACACATTGCAACATCAAAACACTCAACATGCTACGGCAATCCACACCCCAAAGAAGATATGCCGCATGTGTACGCAAAAACATTGGGATATCTCATGTAATATATTGGTCGAAACCCTTTCAAAATACATTGGCAGGTCTCGTGTATATATGTATCATTTGTAGGACAATACTCGCGTTAAATAGACTATTAATAGACACCTGGTATACTCACCTGGTTGACTGACGTACTGTCTGACGCCCGCGGTTAGTACGGGTCGAGAAATGTGTGCGATGCGGCACTGGGCCCTGCAAGCATGTAACGGATAGAGATACTGAGGGGGTTGTCGCAAAGAGAAAACAGGTATCAATGTTCATAACTTCGTGTGGGGATTAAAATAACAATCAGCTCCCAATAGAAATAAATATATACATATGAGGTGTACGAGGGGAAACATCTGGATGCACAATCAACATGTAGCCTGCACGAATCTAAAGAAAAATAATGTATTGGCATGTGTATTAGGAACAGGCAGGCAGGTAGCGATGGATGTCACTGGTTGGGCGAATGCTTGAAGCTATAGGAAATTACACACATCTAAGATAAGGATAACAGGTAGATGCCTTACACACTTTGTCATCATGGCTAGATCGCGAATTCATACGTACACGGTATGAGAAACGCGAACAGTTGCCACCCCTCCCCATCTCATTCCCAGTCAATAGAGTTTATTGCAGATACACTAGTAACATGAGACCTAGACAGCAAACAACATAATGGAAGTGTACTTCCGACCTATCTGCAAATGTAGAGTTCCCATTCGCAACTATGAACAAACAGACGTTCACGCTTATCAGGCAGTCAGTCCTGTGAACTTGGCCTGACAACCTCTCTCATGGTTTACGATTACCTCCACACTGCTCACTATACTAGCCACAGGACCAAGTGTCTGATTTTCGATGAACGTGCAGTACAAACTCAAGTATAACGCTTCAACCCCTAAGCTCCCTGTCTTATAGTAACACTTGTCTGTATATCGAACTCCCGTAAACAATGAACAGATCAGCTTATCCAAAACAGACAGCTTCGTACACTTTACGATAACAACAAACCAATTTATCTGCGCCCACACTAAGGTGATACATAATCGCTGGTAATGAAACTGTCGTCGTCATATTTAGAATAAGAGGCCAAGTAGAATCCGTTAAATACGATATAGATATAAGCGATACAATATGATAAACGCAAGTAATTATAAAGGTACAACGACAAGAATACACCATCCGTCATACACGAAAGAGGTGCGCAAACGAGTACTGTGTACTGATAGCAGCACGACGTCCAATGCACGCTACGAAATCTAGATGTATATACATACAGATAAAATCCCGAAAAGAGGACACCCACGGGACTTTGGGTACAATGTCATCTATACCATATGCTAAGAGATGCAATACGTAATATGAACCGCGATGACAGGCACCAAACCCAAACCCAACAACATACCTTGAGAGTTGAGAAAGAGACATGATTCCTTTACCCGTGTATCTACCAAGTATTTGAACACTCCAAATTACTTGCAAGTAGCATATATATAGACGGACTGACTTTTCTAGTGTATATCCGCCACGTTCTATTGTTCACGAGCGAGCTATGAATTTTAAAAATGTTATTATCACACGAAAGTAAGCTTTTTTTCTGATGTCATGCAGCGACAAATTGCCTTAACCTCAATGCGTTTAACGTTGAAACGTATAAGCTGTAAAACGACGTCCATTTACGTTCCGACGTTTATATTGGAATGTCCTAAAGGGTGTCGCTGAGGGCCATATTCGGAGCCCTAAGGTGCAAAGTGTATGATACTGACCATCTAGTATGCTATAATTCGGATAAAAAGTATAGTTAATTCAAGTACTTTAACCTGTGTAAACGTTTTAAAGTTCAAATAACGAATAAATAAGCGTTTACATTCGGAGGCCCTTCTATTTTAAATAATGTAACCGGATTGTGGTTCTATAATAGGTTGCACCCCATTGGCCTGCTTTGGCAAACTAAAAAATTTGTTTTGTTTTGTTTTATCACACGTAAGTGTAAATACAGGCGTGTATACTCATTACAGGGAGTCAAGGACCGCATCAGCCGTCAGCCCGTCACGTTGTTTGGACTTTGGTGGCATGTTGACACTTGACAGCGACACCGTCCACCGACTCAGTCACACCTCACATGGGATAAATATTTATGGGGTTTTTCTGTTTGTTTTATTTAAAAAAAACCCCTATATATTTTTCTTTTTAGGGAGAGAGGGTCATGTAATATTTGACCGAAATTTGGAGTAAAATACAATCAGTACACATTTAATCCCCAGATTTGTAGTAGGACCGAATGGGCCCTTTTTTGAGGTGCAGGTGCGCGACCTCACCGATTCCACGTGAGGGGCGGTCCACTCTTAATGCGAGAAGAGAAGGGAGAAAGAATCATCTTGCCCTATGGACACAAACCTGATTATATTCACTACTTGCACACTAACACGCTTGTGACTACGACCCTACCACAAGCTTTGTACACACCCGCAGATATACACACATACACACATTATACACATACACATACATACAAACGGCAACATGGAGCAAACCTACTCTACCGATGCTTCTGATTTGCAGAACATGCGCAAATATCACAACCAGGCAGCTATCGAGGAAGACGAGGATGCTGAACAGGACACCGCAGCCAATGTGATTGATGAGTCATACATCCTACCCGATGTTGTGCGTGATTTCATCCTGTACTTTAACGAGCACGTGGTCAATCGTGAGGTGGGAGTGATTCAGAACATCTACGAGAACTCATGGCAGAAGCTGAGCGATCGCTTCTTTAGTGACTGCACATGGCCACCTGTTGGTATGTAGTGTGATTTTTTTGTGATGTTAAAGACGTTGCTTTTTTTAACGTCTGGCAATAGCTGTATACATATGTAGTATGATCGCATCTCACCTATGTCTCAATTTACTATATATTATATATATGTATATATATTTGTGTGTGTGTGTGTGCATGTGTGTGTATATATTGAATATATATATATATATATATATATATATA